CTGTGTGTGTGTGTGTGTGTGTGTGTGTGTGTGTGTGTGTGACCGTGTGACTTGCCTTATGGCTCTTGATCTTTCTTCCTGAAATCTCTTCCCATCTTTTGGGATCAGTTCCTCCAGCCCCTAAGACATTTCAGAATTGGTTTACACTTTAAAACAAAAGCCAGGGAGTGGGGGAAACCACGGACTCTTGTTCCTGCTGGTCCCAGGCCTCCCTGCCTGGTGCAGGGGCCCCACAGATCCCAGGGATAGTGTGGCTGACTGTGGCTCTGCCGCTGCAGGGCAGGGCAGACTGGGCCCAAGGAGGAGCTGAAGAGGTAATTTCAGAAAAGTTGTCTTCACTTTGAAAGTCCAATTTCCAAACCAAGGAGAATTAGAGTGAGACGTGCTTGGAATTTGGCCTGCAGTTTCCAAACTAATTTTGACTTCCCATTTCCTTTTGTCTTCATCCTGGGCAGTGCCAAGGGAGTTTATGTGGACCAGGCTGGGCAGAGTGGCTGCCTTGTCTGAAGGTACGATGGGTAGCAAGAGGCCTGCTCGTCAATGGCAATCAGGGTTCCTGTGGGGGTCCCTTCTTAGAACCAGGGGATCCAGTGGACATCCAGAGCCTCCAACTTCTGTGGCCTGGCTCACAGCGTCAGAATCTTCTTGTGTTCATTGCCTAAGAAAATGTTCCCCCTGCACCTATGTTTCAGGAAATATTGACCCAGATAATAGGAGTTTGGGAAAGGAATCCCCTGGATTCTACCTGCCTTGATCCTTAGCTCATGGACAAGGGGTTCTGTTACTTATTTTTCTTTTTAAATAGGTAGTCACATTCTTGACCCCAAACTTGGGCCTGGAACCCCAGAGAAGTGGCTGCCTCAGTATGGAGGGTCTGAGCAGCCAACTAACCAGAAATGATGGAAAGGGGTAGGGCATTGAGGGAGGGTAGATTTGAAGGCCCCAGCCTGGTGATACCAGGGGCAGGTGCATTTTTGTTGGGCCAGGGGACAAACTTAGGAGTTATGTATGCTTCTTTCTGTCAACATAACCTGACAGAAAAAGCTGACTTGGGACATCAGTGCCCACTCCTTCTCCACTGAAGAAAGCAGGTTATCAGATTCCATAGCAACCTTCAGCTTGGAAGGCCTGGTCGCTGTTGGATGTCACCAGCCTCTTGCCTATCTGTCTGGCTTGCTATCATGTATTGCTTCTCTCATTCCCTATATCTCTACCCAGGTCTGCACAAATACCAATATTCTACTCTCTGCACTTTCTGACCTTACCTACAAGTCCCCTGCAGGAAGAACAGGAGTGCTTGTCGAGAGTAGTATATAAGTGTGCAATTCTGAATGTGGGGCTTTCAACACATAATCAAGGTTTGTATACAAAAGAAGGTGTGTATGATGTTTGGTAAAAGTGCACGTATAGAGAGAGCATTGGTATGTGTCTAGTTTTCATGTAAATTGCATGGAATATACAATACTTGTTTATGGTTTGAGCGGTTTATATATGCCTACTTCTGCAAGGAGTATTAGGGTGACCCCAATACACCTAGAGGATGCTGCATGTTCAAGGGCTTTCTGTGCAGTGTCCTTGTGGGTCTTGGTTTTCTTGCAGACATGTGTGAGTTTCCTTGTTCTTAGTCAATCTGCAGATAAGACCACCAAGCTGCCCATCCCTAACAGGTCTTTCTTTCCCTTTAAGAAATGGGGTGTCACAATGGGTATTCATTGTCTGGAGGGAAAGGGGGGTGGGTTTTCTTAGTTTATCCTTTACATTGATAGACTGCAAATATTACTGTGGATTTGGCCTCTGCCTCTTTAAACATAGGAGTGAGGAGAAAGAGACCCTTTTCTGGCCAGATCTCTCTTTTTGCCAGCTGCCTGCCCATTTTCTTTTCGGGTTGTCCAAAGCCATGGCCAAAGCAGTCCAAGCCTCAGAGGCTGCGGAGGCAGAACTCCAGGGCAAGACCTGGCTGAAGTACTGCTTGGAAGAAGCCACTCCGCCTTGTGCGCAGCCACCTCACCCCACTACCTCTTAGGAACGTTGCAGATTGTATCTGGGCCAGTGGAGTGTGTGCATTGGTGTGTGTGAGGGCTGGCATGGGCCTCATGGGCCTGGATCAGGCCAGATAAGGTGGCCTAAAGCGTTAACCATCAGTCCCCTCTTTCTGGGCCGCATAGCAGACTTCGAACTGGCTCCTCTCCTGGTATCCAAGTTTCGGACTTAACACTGTGCACTGAGCACTGTGCACTTCCGCCCGGTGCCCCACCCCACAATATTTCCAACCTTCCAACCTTCTGCAGTGTGTTTAGGCCTCTGTGTACCTGGGCCACTTACTTTAGGGTGCAAGAGTTTTAAGAATATCAAACCACTTGGAGACTTAGGGATGTTTTCTTCCCGGGCTCCCTCAGAGAAAAACAATGGCAGTCCAGGATTTGCATCTGAAATCCAAAGGGCTCTTGGGGTGTGAAACTGAAAACAAAAACAAAACAAAACAAAACAAAAAAATCTGTATCAAAGACTTGACCTCTAGAAGCTTCCTGAGGAAAGATGGGCCAATCTACTCCCTGTCTGCTCCCCTCTCCCCCTACCTTGCCCTTCCCGACCCTAGCCCCAGCCCAGAGCCTCCACCAGGCTCCTCTTTTTGCCCTTCTCAAATCCTGCGGAATCGACTGCCCAGTGCCAACACAGTTGATTATCCCCAGAGAGACGGGGCAACTGATTAAAATGAAATGACCCGGAAGCTGCCATGGCGCAGGGCTGGGATGCCGATCGATAGTGTGGCTAGAGGCCCTTGAGCCTGGCAGGTCGGGGTGGGATTGGTGTTAGAGGCGGTGGCACTAAGCAGGGGTGGCCAGACTTTGGACAGGCGCCTAGCACTGGCGAGGCACTGAGTAGACCAGACTCAGGCCTAGGCACACCTAGGATGGTGGTGAACCCTAGTGTGGGCTGTGGAGGCGGGCTGAGAGGAGGGAGAATGGAACACCCTGGCACATTCTGGAAACAGCACATCACCAGGATCGTGGCAGCTTGCAGCCTAGCTTCAGTCCTGTGGCACCTTGGACGCGTGAACGTCCCAATCACTCTTCCCAGTCTTCTGCCTCCGGGGCCCTTTCATCCTGCCTAGGCCTTTGTGTGGCTGTCACCTGGAACACCGGCAGCCACCTCAAGGTTTTCATGGGCCCTCCCCTTGTCTCTTCCACCCCGAAGCACTAAAGCGGAGACTCCTGGCGTACTAGGACCCTGGGCCACAGATCCTCACTTTCAGACCCCCTCAGCTTCCACTGTCGAAGCCTTTTCCGGTCCCAGCTGAGCTGAGCCTCCAGGCCCCAGTGTGCTGGCTGGGGTGGCCGTCTGGCCCCAGGGAGGGAGGGGGATGGTGGGAGGGAGCCAGGGAGGAGGGGAGCAGTACTAGCCCGGCTCCAATTTCTCCGGTCAGCTGAGCACAACTTTCCATTCGAGTGTATTCATGCAGTGGCTGATTGAGCTCCGCTGGGCGGGCGGGGCTTGGAGGGAGGGGGCAGGCACAGCCTGGGGACACAGAGGCAACGCCACACACACGCACACACTCACACCTCACCCCCAAGCCATTTCAGCACAAACGCAGTCTTTTCCTTACATTCACCTGCCCCTGGAGCAATTTCCTAACACTCATAGATCTCCTTTCCTACACAGCACAAGGACTGTCTTTCTGCTTTACCCTTTGCATATTTTACATTAGTCCTCAGACACAAACACAAGAGTCCTTCATTCTCTTTCTTCTTTCCAGGTCTCTTCTCCAGGGTGTATACACTCCAAAGAGGCATGGATGCACACACAAACCTGTCCAATCTCACAATCATGCCCTGCTACAGAGCTATCCAAATGCACACTGCAATAGAAACCTACATCTGTGTAAAACAACACTAGCACCCACAGATCTGAAGTGCACAGCCTGTCATACACAGAGGGGTGAGGCTCACTAAAAGTTTGCACATGAGAAAGGGAACAGAAGAGCAATAAACTCAGAAGACACAGCCACTACTATACCTTCACCAAGACAAACACACAGAGGATACTCAGAAGACCTCAAACACAAGTGAACCTGGTACCCAATCTAAAGACATAGTAGAAATACTACCCAGAGGCATTCAACCCCAAACCACATAGCCTAACTCTGCACTCAGCACAGGAGGTCAACATTTGCTCAACCTCATCTATTCCCAGACTGTGCGTGCGTGTGTGTGTGTGTGCGCGCGCGCGTGCACACACACACACACACACACACACACACACACCTCCAAAGAAGACAGAAAACTAGATAAGCACTTTCAGAGAAACATGCTCACTCTTGGGAATGAGCAGGTAAACTTCCATTTTATAATCCACCCCCAAATGCCCAGGGTATGCTGTTTTGCAGAGCAA